TCAACATGTTCCATCTCCTGATTTATGGATCCTCCTAGCACCAGTCACAGCTATGGGCAAGAGCTTACCAGTCTTTTCTAGAATCTGTCCACCAGAAATCTCATCTTTTTTTCTGAACAGAAGGGGAAGCAGGCTGAGTGTCAGGCACAAGACAGTGCTCATAGCTTTGTTACAGCACCTAGCATATTATATAATAATGCATCTGTCCATATCAGGGTTTCTCAACCTTAGCACTACTGGCAACCAAGGACAGATAATTCTTTGTTGTAGGTGCTGTCCTGTGCATTGCAGTTTGTTTACCAGCACCCTACCTCTACCCACTGAATGTATCACCAGCTTGCCAGCCCTGACAACCAAANTACCAGCACCCTACCTCTACCCACTGAATGTATCACCAGCTTGCCAGCCCTGACAACCAAACTAGTCTCTAGACATTGCCAAATGTTCCCTGGGGGCAAAATCAGCTACAACTAAGAACCACTGGTTTACATGCTTGGGTGTGACTTAGATTATGACTGCCAACTGAACGGGCATCCCTTCATTCACAGCTGCATGCCTAGCACACTCCTGGAATACAGCAGGCACTAAACAGATGTTTTCTTAATAAATATGTGTTAAATGAACAAACTTTAAAAACTGTAGTCCATTTGGGTGCTTGCAACACTAAATTTAAATTCAAATCTACCCATGACTATTTATTAAATGCATGGCTTTGAGCAAGTTACTTGACTTCTTTAATCTTTGGTTTCCTCATCTGTAAAATTGGGATATTACTTCTTACCGTGGTGTTGAGGGTATAAAAATCACAATACGGGCATGTGGAAGTGCAGAGTGTATAGTAGAGAAGGAATACATGTACTGTCTTTCTCCTTAATCAAGGAGCAAACAGATCATTTCTGATCTGCTTCTCCAATTCTGCCCTCTAGTTTTTCTTTAATCCTCCTACGGTGAACTTAGTTCTGGGGCTCATGTTTCAGAAAGTTCTGACTTCTTTAGGGGTAGTGTAAGCATTGGTAGCAGCTGCTATTCTATTTACGAAATTCATAAAAGGTACTTAACTCTGTTTCTTTAGCTATATCAGGAGGTAACTTTAAGGAATTCTCTAAAATGCACGTGGATTGGGTGCTTTCACTGTCTACATAAACATTAGCTATCATCAAAGTCTATCTAAGTTTCGCCTGACACATGCAAACTGCAAATCTGTTTCCTTTAAACCAGTTGCTCCCTTGCATTTTTTTCTAGATGTCTTACCATTTCCCATTGAGTACAGGTAAATATGACCATGTCAGAATGCCATACCTCATAATCACTTTCCAAAAATTCATGTAAAATCATTTCATAGATGAGTGGTTTCAGAACTGGATCCCCTCTTGGCAAATAAGGACTAATAGCCTAGGGAAGAAAAAGAAAAAAAAAA